AAGATTTTATTTATTTATTTGACAGAGAGAGACACAGCGAGAGAGGGAACACAAGCAGGGGGAGTGGGAGAGGGAGAAGCAGGCTTCCTGCGGAGTGGGGAGCCTGATACGGGGCTTGATCCCAGGACCCTGAGATCATGACATGAGCGGAAGGCAGACACTTAATGACTGAGCCACCCAGGTGCCCCAACATTGGTAATTTTAGTTTGGGTACTATCATGACATTTATACATTTGAATAAATTAACCTCTAAGAAATAAAAAATCTCAAACCATATGCCATAATACCATGTACAAAATGAAACAATAAATAATAGTGATTGTTTTTTGTTCCTTTTTTGGGGGGGTGGAGTTTTTTAAAGTTTTTATTTAAATTCCATTTAGTTAACATACAGTGTAATATTAGCTTCAAGTGTACAATAATTCAACACTTCCATACAACACCTGGTGCTCATCACAAAAAGTGCATTCCTTAATCCCCATCACCTATTTAACCCATTCTCCCACACACCTCCCCTCTGATAATCATCAGTTTATTCTCCATAGTTGAGTCTGTTTCTTGAAAAAAAAAATTGAATGATTGTGACTTTCCAATTTTATACTGCTATATTCTACTAAAGAAAGTTTTTGGGTTTTTCTTTTTAAGATTTTATTTATTTGACACAGAGAGACAGCCAGAGAGAGAACACAAGCAGGGGGAGTGGGAGAGGGAGAAGCAGGCTTCCGGCAGAGCAGGGAGCCGGACAAGGGGCTCGATCCCAGGACCACAGGATCATGACCTGAGCCAAAGGCAGACACTTAACCATCTGAGCCACCGAGGTACCCCACCTACTAAAGAAAGTTTTAACTAGTATCAGAAAAAAGTATTCCCAACTATACCTGTGTTTTGAGCATTTCTGAGTCTACAATATATCTAAATAGTTTTTACACATTTTAAAATATTGTTTCTATCTACTAGTTTAATTCAGACTATAAAAAGAGAACAATTAGCCATATAACATTTATAGAAAAATAATTTTACTTTTTAGCTGAGTAAAAAGATATGCTCACTATTAAAAAAGAAGAAAAAAGATAAATATGACTTGTATTTCCATCGCCCAGAGATAATAACTGCTAACATTTTGGTGTACGTTCTTCCAGAGTCACATACAAACACGTGTATTTTTTTTAATAAAAATGAGCTCATATCACATGTTTTTATAAAAAATATTTTATTATAGCATAATATACATAGGAAACAAGCTGGCTTTATGAAGTCTACAGTTGTAGTATATACCTATATTTTTAAAAGTTAGCCAGGAATACTAGTACATTTATTGAATTATCCATTTATTTGAAATGCCACTTTTATCATAAGTTACTATATGTATACTGTCAGATGGAAAATTTTTTCATCACTTTCTATGAATCTTTACAGGGAACTTCAACTAAATTAACACCTTGGCCTCTCTATGTCCCTCATTCACTCATTACCAGAGAAAAAGTAACT